CTGTTTTCCATGCCCAACTCAGAGTGGCGTAAACAGAGAAGTGGCCAACACTTGACTAGGCAGAGGAGTGTGAAGGAGATCACGAAGCGCTTGGGTGCTTTCGGTGCTGCTCACCTTCCAGGATGGAGATCGCGTGATCCTCACTGTACCTGGTTGGAGATACTACAAGATATGGCTGCCAACCGATGTCAGTGGCGTTCTTGTTGTTTTCAGTTTCTATCCAGATTGCCCGAGTGAATGTCTGGAGGTGTAGGCACCTCGGAATCATTGTGTTAAGCTCGCACTAAGTCCCTCCCCGGTCCACCTTTACTCTTTTCTTTACAATAAGCTTTCATATAAATAATGGTTTTACGGCAGTGAAGCATCGGTGTTGAACACTGATGTCATGCTGTCGATGATGATGTGGATGGTTTTAAAGAGTAAACTATTATGTCTGGGAGCCAACATCAACGCGAATGACATCAAATGCTGGAGTATATCACAACCAAGGCTCAGTGGCTTTACAGTCCACAAAACAAAACATGCGAGGGGCAGTCTTAAGGAATATAATGATATATCTAGCGTATAAACTAGCACAGCAATACAGACATCTTATTTACTGTTATCCTTATCTAGTTGACCTGATACGAGGTATGTTTGTTCAAAATATTAACCATTATTCGTCAGTAAGGCGGCTATTGGACGTTATTCTATAGGCTCCGAGATTTTAATAGATGGCAGCCTTAGAACTGGGATCGTTCAGCTTCATATTTTGCAGTAAATCGCACAGAATTTATTTTTACTCATTTAATTCGAAAACCTTTCACTGATTGGTGCGCCTTCAGTCATCATTTATGTTTCAAACTTCAGTTAAAACTTTCCCTCACCTTGTCGTTCTATGTCTAGTTTAAATGTATCACGTAGGATGGGCAGATTTGTGACCACGTTTCATTGAGTTGTTGTTAAAATTGGGTGGGCGTGATACCAAAGATCTCATTGGGAAGACTCAATTCGTGGAATATGTCACATTTTTGGATTTATGATTGTTCCTGCTAGCAACAAAATAGTCACAATTCATTGAAATGATTCCTAAGCGCATTTGCGATGACTGCTTGCAAACTGCTGCTTGCTTCAAACAGTGGTACGGTTTCTTGAAACGAGCTTGCAGTGTGTGAAGTCTTAGAGTTTACCCAGACGGAGACAAGCAGCACCCTAACTGAAATAATAAGTTGACTAGCCGACAATAGCAAAATGATTCGTATGACGACGAAAGGTGTTTGCAGAAACGACATTTTAAAGCGTGGGATCAACTACTTGAATCAGAACTTTACGTAAAGCTGAAATTTTATATGTATATATATTTCACTTTTAGTTGCAAGTTATTTAGAATGTTCTCCTCAAGTAGTCGACCAAGCAGTCGTCACAATCATGAAACCAGCAGAGTGTAAATATTATAAATGAATGGGTAGAGGGATTTCCCATTTAACTCAAAGCAATTTAAAATATAGCCATCGTAACTTTAATGCAAAAATCAATTCACGTTGAGTAGTTTATAGATATACTTGTGTACTTACTTAGGACATTAAACAGAAACAACAGCATAAGGTTTGAGGATCGTATGAGTGAATATGTTCCCATCCTCTCCCCATCACCCATATCTTCTACCGATCAGTCGTGTTTGCCAAACACGTATATATATGCGTCGCGGGATAGGAATCCACGGTGACAAAGATGAACACCGCTGAAGCCGTTTTCACGTGATAATTTTCTCTTTCTGCACAAACTTATGACTACGGAAAAGGGAGTAGATAGTACTTGTGAGATACAAATATGATGAAACATTGTGTGTGACAGTCAATCCAATCGAAAGCTGAAGAACGCGATCAATATCGTGATTTTACGCACCAGAACTTGAAGCGGCTCTTGTCGATGCACTGACTACGCCCAGATCTGCATATGGTCTAGCGGGATACTTCGTCAGAATTGCGCAATTGAAAACAGGGTGAAACCCGCCCCTTGAAACACATAGAAGGATTATACAGCGTGTACACTATATTGACTTTTGAACACCCCAGTAGGTTGTCACTCCGCCAAAAAAATTGTAAAGAAAATAGGTTGTAGCCACAATGTAGTACACCCAGATACGAGTCGCGAGATCCTAATAGTTGCTCTTGAATAATATTAAGCAATACTGCAAGGCATGTTTTAATATTTCGCGGGTGACCTTACAATTTATCGTACTGATACACAGACTATGCGTTTAAGCGATTGGTTGCTGATCCAACGCTGAATATCATGGCGGTGACGAGATTCCGCAGTAGATTTGGTAGATAATTTATCTCGTCAATGAATTTGATCTATGAATAAAAGCCCGAGACCAACATACAGCTGTTTCATCCATGTTAAAATTCGCCATAATTTTGTTTTCGGGTTTTGGTAGGAACAGAAGTCCTAGGTATTAAACAAACCAGCCGCTTTATCTCCCACCAGAAATTGCATCACTCATTGTTCACCACAAGGTCAACCATTAGCTGGATCTTCGAGTAACGGGCATTCATTGGGAAAGCTCACCCATAATTTAATATTATTTGTTGTCTTACCTGATTATGAACTAATCTGTAACTGTCGTGTCTGAGTAAGTTCTGCTTACAATGTTGACCGGCCGCTCCTCGCTGAAGGTTTGTGTTCAACCAGTTTGCGGAATGTCTTGGATTCGGCCACAGCCAAGGACCGTTGGAAGCACACTGCTGCCGATTCCCAAAGAGGACGAAACACGTGAATAATGGCCGCCGGAGTTCGTGCATAGATTTTCTTCTCTGATTGCATAGAAAAACAATTCAAAAATTCACGGAATCCTTATATAATCCAACATTTTGCGAAATGGCTACATGCCATCCGGAGTGGCCAAATTTTACTTGGCAACATGCTTTACTTCATCTGACACTTACCACCTGTCCCCGTTTACTTGCTTTTGAGTGCATGGGTCTAATATACAAGCATTTGGTTATTTCGCAATTTTGTCACCGAGCCATATACAAGGACCCCTGAAGTGTTTGTATGTTTGGGTTTATTATATTTTTTGTTAGGGCTCATTGCTCCCTCAACAGATCGATTCATATGTTTGTGCTTTAAAATTTTTCGGCTTTATTTCGCATGCGTTGGTTAGATATGCTCGGCGTGCCGAGCCTTTGGCAAAGCTTTGGATGGGACTTTGTATCCACTTCGCGTCTTCCGCACTGCGCTTATGGATTTTGGGATATCCCAGTATTTTTCGCTCTATATGTTTGGTCTCCTGTTTGGACGAATGCTAGTAGAGAAATGTGAGGCATTGCAAAACCGATGTGTTTTACAAGACATCCCAAGATATCTATAAATAATATCTAAATAATATAATGTCTATAAATAAGCAACATGGGGCAACACAGGCAGGTTTACTCTAGCATCAGCTGAGTTAAAGTTTGGAGGCCTGAATTGCTCTTCAGTCAAATGGTGTGATCACGCCTTCGTACCTCGTGTGAGCAAGTCACGCGCATGATAGAACAAATCTTGTTGAGTGTTGATTATTGACGTCAGCATAATAATTAATTTTCTACCCTAATAAAAATGTTGCCGACAACAGCGAACTGGTAAGACTCAGGTTTGACTATTGCGATAGAAACGATTGAAATATGTCAGGGTAAAAATATGCTCACTGAACAACATACCATAGCATACCTCAGAATATAATCTATTGATTTCTTATCCAGATAAAAGATTGATTTTTAAGCTAGGCTTTGAAGAATTATCTAGGCCGACACATCAGAAATGTCAGATCAGACACTAACTACTTTTGTAGAAGTTTAGGGGAACTGCCATAGCATAGTGCATTTTTGTGTAGTCAGCAATATATTTCAAGACGAAGACCCAAATGCTCTAGAACACCTTAAATGCGGGCAAAAAAATGTGTGGGGCATCCCTCCTCATATAATAGGGTAGTTAACTGGTGTATTTTGTATTTCAGGTACCCGTATTTAAGTTGAACAGTAGTTCCTAAAATAGTGACATAAAATATTCTCACGCCATTTGGGATTGTGTTAACACCTTTGGAATAGTTTTTCTGACAACAATTACTAAGTTCCCCAATAATGCGTAGACAATTATAAATTGTTGCTTTTATTGTAACATTGCAACAGATTACACAAAATTTCAGATTGTCGCAAAACCGATGTCAAAAACAACATTTTGAAAACTACATTCGTTTGGATTTTTCTACTGCTAGTTATCCATCAGTACCATAATCCATGGTTTTAGAAGCTTTCATATCTCATGTTGTATTTTATCCTTATTACTGTTTCTCGATCAATTCAAGTGCTTTCATACTGTAAGGGATCACGTGCATCTGTTGCGCAAATGCTTGGAATGAGGGATAACCACCTCGGAGCTATACTCTGTGATCATTGTGTTAAAATCAGAAAGCTGCAAGCAGGATGACATCATCCTGGCATTGCCAGTGAAATATCAATGTGATCATTCCAGTAACTGTAAAAGGACCAGGGCCGATTTTCCTTTGAAAACCGTATATAATCGGTAACAGTCTTTGGCTTAGACTTGCCAGGCTTCCTGGTCGTTTAAATGGTTTGTCATAATATCTAAATAGCTCGTGAATATTAGGTTGACGGCCTGGGGTTAGCGGCCGCTGAATAATAATCCCAGACCACAAAACCAACTATACCACAATTCCCTGTGAGCTACAGTACACTAAGTACACTACCTGATTAATAATTTAATTAGGCGTGATCAAAAGGGTGCATACTAAAAGCAGCCATATACGTGCATTCTCTGAGCCATCCCACATGAATTTAATTAGTGAGTTTTGACCATTCTGCAAAATATGGATTAAGGCGTAGGTAGGGAA